TTTTTTAAGAAAAAATTTAAAATTAAGAGAATTAGAGGAAAATCTAAATCCTAACCCACAAAACCCTAACATAACATATATAATTCAAACATAAATGATATTTTAAGTAAATGATTTAACATTAATCGTATTTTTTAAAAGATTTTAGAAAGATGGCGTGGCAATTCAAAGTGCCATTTCTCAAAAAGTTTATTTTCGTATATAAGAAATAATTTTTATTCATTTAGAAGATAACTAATTCCATAATTTTAATATTATGAATTTTTTTATTTTATAACTGTTATCCTTTTCGCATTTATTATCTTAATTTATCGCAAATGTTTTTTTCCTTATAGTTTTCATTAATATTTTTGTACAAAACAATATAAAATTATTCATTAGGATTATACTATCAAATTGTTTTACAAAAATAGGGGAACCATAGTGTGAAGTAAGGAAGAGATAGAGAATATGGAGTGCTAAGTCGTAAGCAAGAATAGAAGATTTTCACAAGAAAGTGTCATAAAGAATAACAACAGCAAAAAAAGAGTTACAAACCCAAAATGTAAAAAAAAAAAATCACTCAATGCAGAATATAAATAAAGTTTTATGAGTCAATTATATATAAAAATAATTTCTCCGCTAATTTGACTCGGATCCTTATATATACTTATAATCTTCTTCCTTTATGTTATTAAATCATGCACACACAGCAAACCTCATCTCATCTTCGTAGACCACAAGCTTCTAGGAAATAGTGACATATTCAGTTATAGATTTTAGTAGCAAATTTCATAAAATGCTTCAATGGAAGTTAGAGAGAGTCACTTGATCAAGGATACGGAGCTGGAAGTTCCCAAGCTGTTCAACTTGTTGCTCTTATATTTTCTTCCTTCTGAAACATTGTATAACCGCTGCACAATAACAAAATACACGTAAATAACCTATCTAGTGACAGCACAAACACATTCTTGGATTTCTTAAGATGGATACTTGTATATAAACACATGTCTAAATCAAAATTTCGTAAATCACAAGCAAGAATTGGTCGTACCGCGTTTGATCTTGTCCCGGGTGAATTTTTTTGCTCTCTCAACCTCTTTAGGAGCTTTCTTCAGAAGAACACCTTCCTTCTTCTCTAGCATCTCAAGGGTCTGAGGAATAACAACAACTATACAATCAAGAATTTACCAAAAGAAGCATTCAAAGAAAGAACAATAAAGTAATATGAATATTATCTTACACATGAGAGTGCCTAATTTCAGATGACACAATAACATATATATTATTACAAATTTCTGGTTTCGTGAAAAAGAGAAACCATAAGCGAAGAGAAAACACATGAGTCCCAAACARAGAGTCCACGAAAAAGAAGCAATCCTCAAACCCTCAAACCTCAAGAATTGCATGCATTGAGACCCGAAGCTATCTCGACTCAAGCTCCAAATTGACTCAATCACATAAAGACACTCGCAGTCACCGAACCAACAGACCCCAGGAACCTCCGAAACCCTAACAGGACCCACCGACAGCTCTAGAGAAAACCTCCATCGCACCCTTCCCATATTTCAAAGGATGGAGAACGACGGAAGAAAAAGCCACCTAGAACCGCCTACCGAAACCCTAGAGCCATCATACTTGCGCCGTAGACAAGCCGTCAGAACCAGCGAGAAAATATAATAACAAAATTTACAAATATAAACATCTGATTATTAAATCAAAAAGAACGATGAGAGTAACAAAATTTGGATTAGTTAGTGCTCAAATATCTTAGTAAAGAAAAAAAATCACATCTACAACAAAACACTGAGAACATGAAAACACAGAATACATAGAAGGCACAAATAACAACCTAACAACACAAAAGAAAGTGAAGAAAAATCACATAAAGTTAGCTAAACCCTAGGAATAGACTCACGTTCTTGTTATATATATTTAAGAATAAAAATAGTGGCTAGGGTTTTTCTGACCTCATAATTTTGCATATGGGCCACGAAACAAATGAAAACCAATTTAAGATGAAGCCCAACTACTCAAAGCTACATATATAACGCAAAACACGTAATTGGCCCAAATAATATTTGATGGCAATGGTACGTAATTATGTCGATTTTATTAAGGGTACCCATGTAATCAACAACTCTCAAATCCATGAGAGACCGTCACGTAGGACAATTTACTTCACGTATAATAGAATAGATATACCATTTAATTTTTTTCTATAATTTTTTTCTATGTATTACTCAAAATTTATTTGAAATATACCATTTAATTTTTTCGACAAACAACAATTCAAATGATAAACCCGTGCAATCTTTACCTAGTAACTTATAAAATACACCAAACAGAATATTGTAAAAGATGATTCCGAATATTTGAACACAATATTTACACAAGAGTACATATGATAATTATAGAAATTTCCTAATAATATAATATATTTATAAGTTATATTGATAACTTGTTGGGTCTTAGGTAAATACCTTTATGGGCTACGAAAAAAGAAATGATAGTAAATCTTATGAGCCCACCGAATTTCATATGCTTATGAGCCCACCGATTTTAATATGTTTATGAGCCCACTGATTTTAATTTATCTCAATGGCATTTCATCGTAATTAGGTAGAGGTTTTAGGGCATTATAGTAATTTCGGGTCTGAAAGTGATTCTCAGCTTGCCACATGGGACCATTTAATTTTTTTCTATAATTTTTTTCTATGTTTACTCAAAATTTATTTGAAATATACCATTAATTTTTTCGACAAACAACAATTCAAATGACAAACCCATGTAACCTTTACCTAGTAACTTATAAAATACACCAAACAAAACAGAATATTGTAAAAGATGATTCCAAATATTTGAACACAATATTTACACAAGATTACATATGATAATTATAGAAATTTCCTAATAATATAATATATTTATAAGTTATATTGATAACTTGTTGGGTCTTAGGTAAATATCTCTATGGGCTACGAAAAAAGAAATGATGGTAAATCTTATGAGCCCACCGAATTCCATATGCTTATGAGCCTACCGATTTTAATATGTTTATGAGCCCACCGATTTTAATTTATCTCAATGACGTTTCATCATAATTAGATAGAGGTTTTAGGGAATTGTAGTAATTTCGGGTCTGAAAGTGATTCTCCGCTTGCCCGATGGGACCAGCGACTTCAGATATAATATATATAGATTTGATAAACTACAGGGACCATTTCGGAAAACAAAAAACACACTTAGTTTTTTAGATTATCTATCGTGTTCGTGTGTCGCTTACTCGAAAACAGTCAATTCATTTTCTGCCTTAGAAAAGATTTCTATCGAATCGAACGTATTTTGTTAACTCAAA